TGTGACCTATAATATTCTCAAATAACTATATAGTTTGTTTCATTATAGGTTCACATAGTGTGTTTTATCTCTTCTGTGTAAAGGGACAATAACTATGAGCTTATGAACCCAGAAGGTTGTAAGGCCAGATGTTTTTATTGCAGAATAAATGTGGAACTCAAATAAAGTTAAACTAAGTTATTCTAGTGTTTCAAGAAGCATTTTAAACTCTGATTAAAAAATAAAAAGAACTTGCTCCAACTTGCCATGATTGCAATGTTATTTATATGATATAAACAGAATTGAGCAGGCAAAACATACCTGAATCCTTTCTTCTGCTCTCGATGCAGAGAAAATAAAACTATTTGGAAGTCAGAAAATCAAAGCAATTATGCAGCTTAATTAAACTTTTTATCTTATCTTCTACAGACACACAGTACAGCCGGACCATTGCCCTTTGAAGAAATGTACATGTTCAGAACTGTGTGTTTTGTTTCGTCTCACAGTATGCAAAGTAATGTCCATGAGTGCATGCAGACATGAAAAGTATGTCACATACATCATGTCGTGAGCATTATAGCGTGCTAATATCAACTTTCCATACAGCAATGCTTTCCTAAATGAGGTGTCCTTCAGAGAGTTTGCATAATATAAAATAACCTATTATGAATTTGTTTAACAAAAACAACTAAAGCAGTGTCATTGTTGGTGGCGTGATTTATTGTCCTTTTCATTTAGACTTGACCAGTCTAATAACAATATCACAACATTGTAACACAGAATTAAAGCAAGCAAAATAACTCTGCAATTTGAACTCTATAATATTATAATAACCAGAACTCCACAAGATGTCGAGCCACAATACATTGCTATCAATATTTGATGATTTACACCTTCCCAGTGCAACAGTTAAACCAACTAGTAGTTGTCAGTCGTCGTATAAAGTATTAAATATGAAATTAATAGATAAGACATTACACAATAACGATTTGTATAAATAAACTGTGTAAAATATATAAATGAACCAATAAATAAATGAAAAGAAATATTATGAAATGTGACATAAAATAAAAGCACCATTGGGAAAAATATGAAAAAAAAACTTCTGAAAAAGGAATAATGAAATAAAAATGTAACTTAAATAAACAACATAATAACAACTTGAGTTTGAATAATGTCTCATTTATTAGTTTGTCTATATGTCATAATAGTGATTTACACGAACTCACGAGAAGCTTGTTTATCAATGACTCCGTGTTTTACGTCAGAAAACGTGTAAAATAAAAAAAAGTTCACATCGTTAAAAAAAAACGTTGCATCGTGTTCTTGAACGCAGCCTCGACGGGTCTGGCTGTCGAAAAGCATTGTGGGATTGGAAGCCGGTGGAAATCTTCTCGAAGGATCTGCGAAGATGATGGTGAGTTAGCGTTCATGCCCCAAACTCAAGAGTGTAATCCGTGTCCATCCTCACGTTAATCAACAAG